ATGAGCAAATGTTTTAAACAGGCTTCACCAAAAAAGAGACATGATTGATGAACAACACATGAAAAGATGCTCCGCATCATTCATCATTAGGGATATGTAAATGAAAACCACAATATGTTACTTCTACACACTTAGTAGAATGAGTAAATGACCACACCAAGTGTTGGCAAGGACTGTCATTCACTGTCAGAGGGAATATAAAATGATACAACCACTTTGTAAAAACAATTTGACAGTTACTGCACTTCTAGGTGTTTATCCAGAAAAACAGAAAGCATATGGCCATACAAAAACATGTACACAAATATTCCTAGCAGATCAATTTGTAATAGCCAGGAACAAATGTCCATCTGGCAACTGTAGATAGAGTGTGGTATATCCTTATAATGGAATATACTCAGCATTAAAAAAAAAGAATGAACCACAGATACGTGGACAAATCTCAGCATAATTAAGCTAAATCAAAGAAACCAGACAAGAAGGGTACATATATATACAATTATTAGAAAAGTAAAATAATCTAGAGTGATTGAAGATCAGTGGTTGCTTTTAGATGTGGGTGGGGTGGGGATGCCTGGGAAGGAGACTCAGGAAGCAGCTTGAGGGAATAACAGAGGTGAGGGTATGTTTATGATATGTTTGTCCAGTGGTTTCACCGTGTGCTCTCATATGTATGTCAACACAGACCAACCTGTACACTTTAAATACAAGCATTTGGTCCTGAAAACGTTCCCCAGGATTGGTCTTAATCCGGTGTGGTAAGGCATGCAGACCTGGAAATGACCCCCAGAGCCCTAGAACCGAGCCTGGCACACCTTGTGGGCCATGTGGGGAGGGACCATAGTCAAGGCAGCAGAAGAGGAAGAGGGCAGAGCACGACCCAGAGCCTTTATAGGTTTTTTTCTGGGAAGGAATGGGCAAAGCAGGGCAGATATACTGAGGCCTGGGTGGTTTGAATAATTCCTGAAAACCCTGGGCTTCAGGGGTGATCTCTGGTTGTCCAGTGGTGGGGTGGCCTAGGGCACGGAGAGAGCTGGCCTGATGAAGGAGAAGGTCACTGTGCTGGCTGCTCTGCATATCCAAGGCGCACTCCACTAGACCCCCATGGGATCAAGTCCCAAAATGCCAGAGCATCAAGAATACAGAAAATCAAGTCAGTCCACAGGTCTTAGCCTGTCCTCTGCTGCTAAGACACGACACCACAGACTGGGTAATGTATACACAGCATAAGTTTATTTGGTGCATGACTTTGGAGGCTGGGAAGTCCAAGAATGAGGGCCCATGTTTTGGTGAGGGCCTTCCTTCTATGTCATACGTGGCAGAAGACATGGGGGCAGGTAGAGAAAAGGAGAGGAAGAGAGCAAGCGAGCCAAATTCACCCTTCCGTCAGGAGCTTGCTGCCGACAGCTCGCCCACTCCCAGGGTAATGCGTTCATCCATTCGTGAGGGCTGAGCCAAAGACTGCACCTCTTCACACTGTGGCCTTAGGGGCCACACAGGAGTTTCCAACACAGGAGCTTTGGGGGCTGGGAGGCACATCCAAACCGTAGCACTCACTTCATTGTGTTATCAGTTACTCCTCAATAATGAAGCTGATTACAACATACATGAGGGAGCCCTTTTCAGCACAATTTTGTGATGCTCCAATGTAGAATAATGTAATTTCTGTCCTAACTAAATTAGATAGACTAAAAGAATCCAGGCAAAGTAAAAGAAAGTGTTCTTCAGAATTAGAATAAGTATGTTTTAAAAAAGATGTACCGGGCCAATGCTGTGGCACAGCGGGTTAACCCCCTGGCCTGCAGCGCCAGCATCCCATATGGGCGCCGGTTCTAGTCCTGGCTGCTCCACTTCCAATCCAGCTCTCTGCTATGGCCTGGGAAAGCAGTAGAAGATGCCCCAAATCCTTGGGCCCCTGTACCCATGTAGGAGACTCGGAGGAAGCTCCTGGCTCCTGGCTTCGGATCGGCGCAGTTCCAGCTGTTGTGGCCAATTGGGGAGTGAACCATCGGATGGAAGACCTCTCTTTGTTTCTCTCTCTCTATCTCTCTCTGCCTCTCCTCTCTCTGTGTAACTCTGACTTTCAAATAAATCTAAAAAAAAAAAAAAGAAGAAAAAAAAAAAGAAAAAAGATGTACTTCAAATACTCTAAGTGACATGTGTATCAAAAATAGTGATTTAGGGGCTGGCGCTGTGGTGTAGCTGGTAAAGCCGCCGCCTGTCAGTGCCAGCATCCCATATGGGCACTGGTTTGAGTCCAGGCTACTCCACTTCCTGTCCAGCTCTCTGCCATGGCCTGAGAAAGCAGTAGAAGATGGCCCAAGCCCTTGGGCCCCTGCACCCACGTAGGAGACCAAGAAGAGGCTCCTGGCTCCTGGCTTCAGATTGGCACAGCTCCAGCCGTTGCAGCCAATGGGGAGTGAACCAGCGGATGGAAGACCTCTCTCTCTCTGCCTCTCCTTCTCTCTGTGTAACTCTGACTTTCAAGTAAAATAAATAAATTTTTAAAAATAATAATGATTTAGAAAAGCGGTAATGCCAAGAAGAGTTCCGTCAGTTCATTTAATGGATAGGATATATTTTAACACAGTGATGACATCAGTGATTGCTTCTGAATTTCTTAAAAATATAGTTTGATCTTAAGTTTAAATACTTCTCAGATAACTGTATACAGGAATGTACACAATAAAATTTCAGGCTCATTTCTACCTAACGTTTAGATAATTTGGAATCTAAATGAACAAATAAATAGGATCAGTTAATAAAATGTTACAATTATCTTCCTTCTAATAATCTCAAAATATAATAGGAGGCTTCCCTTGGCAATTACAGATATTAATGCAAGTCTAAAATGTATCCTCTTCTGACCATAAAAACCCTGAAAGATACTGAGTAAACACATGGGATCAGTCGTAAGCCATTGACATTAGCCAAGATAATCTAACGTAAGTCTCTTAAAATAAGCTGACTTCCTGATCATATATTTATCATCTCATTAATCAGTTTGCAACCATATCTATGTATATATAATCTGGAAAAGCATTTTCTAAAGTTACATTTGATTTCTTTTTCTAAAGTTATTTATAATTTACTTTGTGAATTTTCTTTAAACTCACACCAAAGGAAGGGATGGATTTCTTTTTTTTTTTTTTCCAGGATTGATAAAACCTAAATCACACGTCTGATATCTGGATTATTTGGCCAATATCAATAACAATCTCACTTCAAATGTCAGATCTTAGATGTTTACATGTCAGGCTGTCTGATTCATTTAACATCTGCTGAAAACTTCCTAGTTCTGGATTCAGTGAGGGGTACAAGGATGAAAAACACACATTCCCTTGTTCTCAAAGAGTGTATGGTCTAGTAGGGGATTTTCCTAATTTTATTTTATTTTATTTATTTGTTGAAGAAACAGACATATAAACAGAGACAAAGAAAGAGCTCTCATCTGCTGATTCACTCCACAGATATTCACAACAACGAGGGTTGGGCCAGGCCAAAGCCAGGAGCCAGGAACTCAATCCAGTGCTCCCATGTGGGTGGCAAGAATCCAACTACTTGAGCCATCACCTGCTGACTTCCAGGGTGTGCATTAGCAGGAAAAAGCTGGAGTAGGAAGCAGAACCAGGACTTAAGCCCAGGCACTCCAGTATGGGTACACCACAACCAGTGTGTTAACTACCATGCTAGACACCTGCTTCCAGTAGGGCATTTTGTAGCATGCATTGAACAGAGATCAGTATGAACCTAAGAATAAATGCTATCAAATTTATTTTTTAATTCATAAGATTGAAATTAGAAAGTCTCCTACCTTTTTCCTCATAGCACTTTATCCAGTTTCTTTCTTGGGACTTAGGAGTTTAGAGATATATTTTTAAAAAATTCTGTGTTTATTTGAAAGGCAGAGTTACAGATTGAGAGGGAGGGAGGGAGAGAGAGAGAGAGAGAGAGAGATCTTCCAACCATTGGTTCATTCCCCAAAAGGACTGCGCCACATGGAAGCCAAGAGCCAAGAGCCTGGAATTACATGGCGCTGGCAGGGACCCATCTTCTTCTGCTTTCCCAGGCACATTAACAGGAAGATGGATGGGAAGCAGAACAACCAAGACTCAGACTGGTGCTTACATGGATTGCTGGTGTTGCAGGAGGCGGCTTAACCAACTATGCCGCAACACCGGTCCTTAGAGATACTGTTTTGGAGACTACACATGGTACAAAGTCCTTAATGGACTGCTCTCAGGGAGTATTATATTATTTAGTTAGACTTAAAAAGGAAAAAAAAATTGTGCTGGTTCTGTGAATGTGTGTTGGGGGTGTCCATTCACTATGCAAACTGAATTGTGGGGCAGGTGTTTGGCCTCCTAAGATGCCTGCATACTGCATTGGCATGCCAGGGTTTGATGTGTGGCTGCAGCTCCTGATTCCAGCTTCCTGCCAATGTAAACCTTGGGAGACAGAGGTGATGGCTTGAGTAGTTGAGTCCTTGCCACTTTTGTGCAAGACCTGGATGGAGTTCCTGGCTCCCTACTGCAGGCATTTAAGGGAGTGAACCAGTGGATGGGAGCAGTCTTGTGTATCTTTTTCTCTCTCTCTGCTTCTCAAAAAAAACTAATAAAGGAAAAACAGCATGAAACCTAGGATTCTAGATGCCCATGTCTTTATAAACATTTATTTATTTATTTATTTATTTATTTACAGAGAGGCAGAAAGAAAGAGAAGTCTCCCATCCACTGGTTCACTCCCCAAATGGCTGCAATAGCCAGAGCTGGGTCGATCAGGAGCCAGGAGCTTCTTCCAGTCTCCCACGTGGGTGCAGGGGCCCAAGGACTTGGGCCATCTTCTACTGCTTTCCCAGGCCATAGCAGAGAGCTAGACCAGAAGTGAAGGAGCCCGGACTCCAACTGGCACCCATATGGGATGCCGGCACTACAGGCGGCTTTACTGGTTTCACTGCAGCACCGGCCCCCATCATAAACATATAAATGTCTTTCTTCCAGGATCAGCTTCCAACTTCAGCTTTTTCCGATGGATGAGGTCTCTTCTGATCCCCTCCTACAGGTTTGTGCTCACTGGGGGTTGCTACCAGGATGAATGACTGTCCCAGAATCCTGGGAGGCACCAAGGATATCCCATTTCTAGCTGGGTTTGGGCCGGAATTGTGTGGGAAGCTGGCAGTTGAGAACGTGCAGGAGACTCAGGTTTTGTTCCTCCTTCCCCCTCCACCACCATACCCTGGCCCCCTGCTTCAGGCCTTCAGAAGCTTCCAGCGGCTCATGCCCTCTGCCCTTCTGACCCTCAGTCATGACGCAGAGAGGGTGCATCAGAGTCCGATGGTGAGAGCGAGGGAGGCAGCAGCTCTCAGTGCATTCACAGCAGCATCTGTACACTGCATGCACAAGATCGAAGCCCAGAGGAAGTGTGAAGCCAGGGCGCCTCAGAGCTGGTGGACGTGACCATCTTGCTGAGAGCACAGAGGCCAAGTGCAGAAGTCCGGCAGAGACCCTCTGTGTTCAGATGCATGGGGCAAGGGAATGCACCTGTCTGAGAAGCAGAAGGCCTCAGAGAGGAGAGGTTTCACAGGCGCCCCCGTGTCTTTCCTCCTGCAGTGCTTCCTCACCTCTGAAGTCCTTGAGATCCTGGAGAATGTCCCCTAACCTCTGTCTCCTTTCCGTGTCTGCAGCCAAGGCTGCAGGCTGGGAAAATCCAGGCAGAACCCCACCCAGTGTTTATTTGGTTTCATTCTGTTGGTTGTTTTTGAAACTCTGGATGCACTTGCCAGTGTTTCCCAACTCCCACACCCAGACATTGCTAATGGATCTTGGGACCCTTTTCCATTGGTCCCAGATGTAAGTGCAGAACCTTTTATTTTCCCTCATATTTTTGCTGTGGTAAAACACACATAAAATTCGCCATCATAACCACTTAAAAGTTGATGGCTCGATGGTATTCAGTACATTTGTGTTGTGCTGTGACCAACATTGCCATCCAGAACCATTCATCTTCCCAAACCCCAGGCCTGCCAAACACTAACCGTCCATTACCCAGAATCCTTTTCAAGACAGCTCTTTGCAAGAACCACCAATTGATTCAAGTTGCTGCAAGTTGGAGCTTGGGGTATTGACAAAAAGGGACCAGGGACTGCAGAATCTGAGAACTGGGGCCCAGGGACAGAGGCTGGAGTGTGTGGGGAACGCTCCCTGTCACCTGCTGGGGCTGGCTGGGCACATGTCCCACGTGGAGCTTCAGTAAAGGTGAGGTGACCTCTGTCTTTCAGATACTCAAGGCACCAGGTTGGGTAACTCAGGTCACAGCACACCAGTATTGATCTCTTATCCCTTATAACCTGAGAGAAAGTAGGGTCTAAGCGAAAATAGACTCTGTGTAGACCCTGCCTACAGAGTTTGGAGCTGCAAGCCATGTGTGGGTGATAATATCTGTCCTTGTCTGATTAACAAGAACATTTTCAGTCACTTTTGGTTTAAAGCCAAACAGTGACCTTGGGAAGGGGCCACTCTCTGTGTTACACCCTGGAGTCCTGGGGCTTCCCCTCCGAGGTCACTGCAGTGCTGTGAAAAGAAGAGATGACTTTTGGAAGAGAACAGTCAGTGGCTGAATAGAACGCAGTCCACACCACTCCTAGCACAGTGTCCAGCTCAGTGGGTCGTCACTGGTGACGTTTTGTGGTGGTGCTTAAGGATGGTGATTCATTTTAAAATAAAAACTGGGTAGCCGTGTTCTTTATTCTGTAGTTTTGAACTCTCCCCTCATTGCAGCCCCATATGTCCTTCAAAACCAAATGTCCTCTGCCCAAACGCATTTGGCTGAGTTACTTCCTGTTACATCTGCAGCAACGTGGTGCTCGCTCTGACCTTGAGAAGGCTTCCTTTCCTGGAGCCATAGCAACTGTCCACATACGGGTTCCTAAGCCATTCTAGACTAGAGAGTAAAACATTATTACTCCCAATTCAAAAGAATGTGGTGGTTTCATCTAAAAAAAAAATAAAGAAAAGATAAAGCACTGGCAAAAATACTTATTTGGTTTGGCATTTTTGCCCTTTCTAACCTTACTTAAATTTTTAAAATTTATCTTCATTCTGTTTGAAAGACAGAGAGATGAATAAAGAGAGATTTGCCATCTCCTGGTTCACTCCCCAAATGCCTACAACAGCCAGGGCTGCACCAGGCTAAACCCAGGAGCCTGGAATTCAGTCTGGGTCTCCCGTGAGGGCGGCAAGGACCTAAGCCCTTGAGCCATCTTCTACTGTCCCCCGGGCTGCTCACCAGCAGGATGCTGGAACTGGAGGCAGAGGGCACAGAACTCAGTCAGGCACTCCCCTACGGGATTTTGGTCATCCCAAGCAGCATCTTTTTTTTTTTTTTTTTAAAGATTTATTTTTGAGAGTTACTGACAGAGAGAGGGAGAGACAGAGAGAAGATCTTCTGTCCACTGGTTTATTCCCCAAATGGCCACATGGCTGGAACTGAGCCGATCTAAAGCCAGGAGCTTCTTCCAGGGCTCCCCTGTAGGTGTAGGAGCCCAAGCACTTGGGCCATCTTCTGCTGCTTTCCCAGGCCATAAGCAGGGAGCTGCATCAGAAGTGGAGAAGCTGGGACTCAAACTGGCACCCATATGGTGCTACAGGTGGAGGCTTAACCTATTACACCACAGCGCCAGCCCCTCCAAGCAGCATCTTAACCACTGTGCCACACACCCACCCCTTAACCTTGCTTTCTGAAACTTCACCCTTTGTATAAGAAACTAAGTTCTCGGGGCCAGCACTGTGGTGTAGTGGGTTAAGCCACCACCTGAGGTGCCAACATCCTATATGAACGCCATGTGGTCCAATTCTGATCTGGCTCCCTGCTAATGTACCTGTGAGAGGAGGGGATGATGGCCCAAGTGTGGGAGACCCGGAAGAAGCTCCTGGCTCCTGGCTTCAGATCGGCCCAGCTCCGGCTGTTGCGGCCATTTGGAGAGTGAACCAGCAGATGGAAGTATCTCTCTCCCTCTCTCCCTCCCTCTCTCTGATTCTGACTTACAAATCAATAAAGTAAATCTTTTTTAAAAAAGAAACTAAGTTCTCAGAAACCTTCAACCTATGTAATTTAAATAAATTCTCAACAGATGGCTGCAGTGCCTTTACCATGTGAGCTGAACTTCAGTAGTGTGGCATTTTGCCAGTGTCAGCTGAAGCCTTCTGCTTAAATTCCTCCGATTTATGAAATTAAGTTTCTAGCTTTTTACAGCTCTCGAATCTGTTGCTTATTCGAACAGTTGAACCTTACCACTAGTAACGTGCACATTTCTTTGAGAGCAAACTTTTTTTAAGAGGGAACTCCTGCATAACTCATGGCTTGAGGACCTCCCACAGACGCTGGAACTGGAAAGGAGGTGGGAGGATGAGGAAACAGAGGCACGAGGAGGTCAGGAGGTCTCCTGAGGCCGCCAAGCGGCTTGGGGCCGGAGCTGTGGCTGGCTCTGTCTTCCGTGGCTGCCCTGACCGCCTGTCTGAGCTTCGCTCACTCCATTCTGCCTGCAGCGCGTTCCCAGTTTACTCCAGCTGCACCAGGGTGCAGAGCACCACTGGGGCTGGCTGTTGGCCTGGAGGCCACCTTTTTCTCCAGAACCTTTGCAGTTTGCCACTTTGCCGCCCTGCTAGATGACCTTGGCTCTGGGAAGCATGCCTCGTCCAGCTTTCTTTCCATGAGTTAGGAGAGGGTTTCTGTTTTTACTCTTCTCGCTTGTTACTTCATTTGACAAAAAGAAAAGCTACAAGAAAGGCAAAGAAAAGCTACAGAGCCCCCAAAATGATGCCATTTGGAAGGCAAAAGAGTCTTGGTAGGTTTCCTCCTTCAAAGTGTGTACTGCTTTATGGTTTTCTACTTAGGAAGGGTAAATATCACTCTCCTTATTTTAAAGTATGTGAAAATATTTCATAAAGTTCGTGGGAAATGGCATTAAAATAGAAGCTTATTTTGACACCAAGAGTTGCAGTCCATTTAGTTTTTCATAATACACATCTTGCATGAGCTTTTTGAAGACCCTTGCACTTTGAGTGCAGAAACCGTTGTACACACAGCATTCAGCAGTCACAATGGAACCCTTCGGCCCATGTTGAATGTTAGCCCAGGGGATGTTCTGCAGGTCCTCTCTCCGTCCAGAACAGAGTAGACTCATCTCCCTCGGGCCCCACTTGCTCTTCCCTTCTTACCATCCTCTGGGTCTCTCTCGCTAAAGGAGCTGGCGGTCCCCCCGGGAGCAGATCATCTTGGCGCCTTCCCCGGCCAGGGTTGACATGGCAATGACTCAGCTCACTCAGGAGAATGCAGACTTCGCCTCTCGGGATCGCTACCACCACTCCTCCTCCGTGAGCCGGGAACAGCTGATGCCTCAGTACTAGAAGCAGCGCTGAGACCCTCCCGTCTTGGAGCTGACCTGTACCCAGTGGACCGAAGCCCTGGGCCTTTTGTGGAGCTGCTTCTCCTCCCGCTGCTGCTTTGGACAATGGAAATCTGCATGCTGGTCGGGAGCCGCACGCCTAGCCCAGGTAATGTTAGGAAGAGCTCCACCTGGACACCAAGCCTGCCAGTGTGGAGAACCACATCTCACTGCTTCTGAGGGCCACAATAAATGCTTATTTTTAATTAAATTAAATTATTGATTTAATACAGCATCCATGTCCATGGTTCCAAGCCCCAAAGTATACTCATGGATAGAACGAAGTCTTCCTCCCATCTACTTTCCTTCTGCTCAGCTTCTACCCTGGCCGAAGGCAGCCATGCTCTCATGCACACTTCCAGTTGTCCTTTTGAGTGTACAGTCACACAGGAGTGTGGGTGCTGGTCACTTAAACGTGTGTTCTGCACCTTGCTTTTCTCCCTTAAAGATCTAGCTTGGCGATCTCTCCATAGCAGACACATACAGTGTCCTCATCGTCTTCCAGTTGTGCGATGAGCTGTGAGTTAGTCCACTCGTTCCACAGTGGTGGGCATTTGGATTCGTTCCAGTCTTTTGCTACTGCACTCGGTTCTGCAGTTCATCATCCTGTACACTTGTACGGGTATAAAGATTATCTTCAGGGTAGGTCCCCAGGTGTGGAACTGCAGGGTCAGACGGTACTTGTATTTGTCAGGTCTTTGTAATTAAAAAGGGAATTTACCGTGAACTGCCCAGCGGCGACTCCTGTCTCCAAGGTGCCCGTGGGCTCTGACTCCCTGGGCACCTTCACCGCCACTTTGGTGCATGAACAGCACAGAGGAGACAGGACTCACCTGGTTCCTCCGTGAGATCAGCATGGCGTGGGTCACAAGCGCCCGTGGGTGGAAGGGGCTTAGAGCAGGTCAAGCCTGGGAGGGTCCTGGGGAGGAGACCATGGCTATGGTTGCTTTTAGGTAAGTTTGGTACCTGAGCCAGGGTCAGTGATTTTACCCCTGAGCTATGGAGGGAAGCATTGTTGAGTCACTGTGGCTCTTTCTCTGTAGTAGACTGCCTCATTAGTCAGTGAGCCACGAATCACAGCGCTTGTTCAGAGGGCAGACTGGGGAGGGCACTTAACCTGCTGGTTGACACATGAGGCTCATGTTCCATGTCAGAGGACCTGGGCTCTATACCTGGCTCCAGCTCCTGGGTCCAGCTTCCTGCTAATGCAGACCTTGGGAGGCAGGGGTGATGGCTCAGGTAGTTCCTGCCATCACATGGGAGACCTGTACTGAATTCCCGGCTCCCAGCTTCAGGCCTGGCCCAACACAAGTATTTGTAAGCATCTGGGGAGTGACCTGCAGATGGGATCTCTCTCTTCTTCCTTCCCTGCTTTTGTCCCTTCCTCCCTCCCCCCTCCCCACCATCCCTCCATCCATCCCTCCCTTCCTCTCTCCCAAATTAATAAATAATTTTTTTTATTTTTTTTTTGACAGGCAGAGTGGACAGTGAGAGAGAGAGACAGAGAGAAAGGTCTTCCTTTGCCGTTGGTTCACCCTCCAATGGCCGGCGCGGCCGGCGCGCTGCGGCCAGCGCACCGCGCTGATCCGATGGCAGGAGCCAGGTGCTTTTCCTGGTCTCCCATGGGGTGCAGGGCCCAAGCACCTGGGCCATCCTCCACTGCACTCCCTGGCCACAGCAGAGGGCTGGCCTGGAAGAGGGGCAACCGGGACAGAACCCGGCGCCCCGACCGGGACTAGAACCCGGTGTGCTGGCGCCGCTAGGCGGAGGATTAGCCTAGTGAGCCGCGGCGCCGGCTAATAAATAATTTTTTAAAGTGTGGGTTTCTGTACCTCACCCTTAGGCTTTGTTGTCTGGTAAAATGGGAGGGGCTTCCTGGACTTCACATCTTTAACAAATGCCTCAGGTGATTCTAGCAAGTGGTCCTTGGACCGCCTTCTGAGAAACACTGACCTGTTGGGTGGGAGGGGCTCAAAGCAGGTCTTTCGTTCTCTCTGGGAGATGCGATCTCATTTATGCTGGCTGTCCATGACATCTGCACTCGGGGAAGTGCCAGATTTCTGAGCGTCACCGGAACCAGCTTAAAGAAAGCAGACTTTGACTTAGCAGTGGGCTGTGTGTGGGGAAGAGAAACGCCGCACCAAGGCGGGCGATAGTTCCGAGGGGCTGAGTTCAGTGATCACTGGAGGCCCTTTTAAAGAAGAAGCCGCACCAGCTTCCTGTGGCTGCTGGCACGGAGTACACAAAGCAGGCAGCTCCAAAACAACGGACGTTTATTGTCACAGTTCTGGAGGCCAGAAGTTTTCCATCAGTGTCACTGGGCAGCTCAAGATCCAATCTAATCAACCTGCAAAGTGTTTGCCAAGTGAAGAAATAAGCATTCACAGGCTCCAGTGACAGGATGTGCATGTCTTTGGGGGACTATTTTTCAGGCGACACAGAAGGCTTTACTGAATCTGCTTTTTGCTTTTTTGAATTCTGCATCGGAAGCTGAAAAAGTAGCCCACTCTAAAAACCATAGCACTAGGCTGGCGCCGCGGCTCACTAGGCTAATCCTCCGCCTTGCAGCGCCGGCACACCGGGTTCTAGTCCCGGTCGGGGAGCCGGATTCTGTCCCGGTTGCCCCTCTTCCAGGCCAGCTCTCTGCTGTAGCCAGGGAGTGCAGTGGAGGATGGCCCAAGTGCTTGGGCCCTGCACCCCATGGGAGACCAGCAGAAGCACCTGGCTCCTGCCATTGGATCAGCGCGGTGCGCCGGCCGCAGCAGCCATTGAGGGGTGAACCAACGGAAAAGGAAGACCCTTCTCTCTGTCTCTGTCTCTGTCTCTCTCTCACTGTCCACTCTGCCTGTCAAAAAAACAAAACAAAATGAAACAAAAACCATAGCACTGTGTTGAAAAAAGACGGAACCAAAGCAGATAACCACATATAGCAGAAGACTCAAGTGTCCAGGAAGAGTACCCTCCCTGGGTAATTTCACGGAAAAGAGTAGGAGAAGAATGGGACGTGATAAAGAATTCCCACATCATACTCAGGGTCAGGGATACCAAAATGAATAGCTCACACTTGAGTTTGGGGGCAGATGCTGAGCAAACTGAACTTCTAATAAAGTCCAAAAATCTTGTGTGTAATCATAATCAGGGTGTTAAATGGTAATACCAGTCAAGTCTTAGCCTGGGCCCCCCACCACGCAGAAGGCTGTGAGCCAGTGCTTTGTTGGGGAGTGCATCTGGGGTAGCAGGAGTGGGAGGGGAGAGGAGTGAAGCAGAGCAGGTGTTGCTCACTCTGCTGAGAGGCCCTGGGAACGCTGAGTCTCAAGATCCCCTGCTGGAGAGGGTGGGACCAGGATTTACGGCTTCCTGTTTCCCATCATCCAAGGTTAGCCTTGTGTGGGCATCGAGCACCCCTACCTGCTGATTTGTACATGCACGAGTGCCTGGCCATTCTGCAGCGAGCAGAAACTGGCTGGAGCCCACATGGAATGTGTTGTTACCATGGCAGCTGACAGGGAACAAGTGGCCTGAGCCCCAGAGTCAGGAGGGGCAGGGAAACTCTGAGGCGGCTTGTGGAGGTGTCATATACAGCCTGCACACTGGCAGAGGTCAGCAGTAAGAACAGATTGTCAGAAAGATGACCATCCGGACAGGGCTTGCTTATCTACGGGCTGTCCTAGGAGTGCTGTCACATCAGTATTTATGACAGTGAGGCCAGCAACATGTTCTAAAATGCAGGGCCTAATTCCTGGCCTAAAAGTTCTACCAGGGAGTCTACAGTTGTGGGTCACAGTGTCTGAATGAGTGAAGGTTGTAGAAGGCCTTCTGGGACCACCAGTGTCTCTCTTCAGGCCCAGCTGTCTGTTACTGGACCCTGAAAATGATATGTCTACCCACTCACCATGGACCACCCACCCACCATCACCCCAGCCATCTACCTGTACACAGCTGGAGCAACAGGACACATACATTTATAGATAGATGCCAGGAGCTACCTCACCAGAACCAGGTACAGCTCGCCAGTCTCAGAGCCCTGGTAATGTAGAAAGAGGACCACAAGCCCCGCAGGTGTAAGTGAACTCCCAAACCCAGAGCATTCTTAAACACTAAGCTGGGAACCAAACCGGGTCATTTTCCCAGGTGTCTCTGGGAGTCCGGCTGACAAGTCGTCTGGCCTATCCAGCAGGTGCATCCCACACAAACCATCATGAATGAGGGTGGGAGCCTGAGGTTCCAGGACTCCATCGCCCCTCCTTACCTCCAGGTTTCTGACTGAGGAAGCAGAGTTAGGGTGGGCAACGGTATTCTGGCTTAGGTGTTAAGACCAGGGAAGGGTGCAAAGCTTTTGTTAAGAGCTGCAGTGGAGAAGGCAGCTGAGCACTGAAGGTTGGAGTGAGGTCTGTCCTGTCAGGATTTCTTCCTCTTGAGTTGAAGAATCCACTTCCTCATCTCATCTCTGTGAATGATGAAACCAAGCAAGAGACTGACCAGCATCCAGGAACAGAGGCAGAGATTGGTGACTGCACATTACTTTTCAACGCAGAGCCCTGCCCACCCATGAACGTGGCCAAGCTGTGGCCAATCACATTGGCCTCTTCCCTCCCAGGAGGAGCAAGTACAGGATGACGGCAGGGAGGCAGAAGCAGGCCCTTTGCCTATTCCAGAGGGCAGAGCTTGGGCGGTAGTTTCTGCCTCCCTGAGGGCAGGGGGGCAGTGAGGAGACCGTCAGGACATGAGAGCAGTGACAGAGGCAGACGCAGTGGACAGGGAGGTCTCCCTGGAGGTGGGGATAATAAGCTGCACCCAAGCAGCTAGTGGACAGAGGTGGGGGTCAGGGCTTTCCAAACGGGTGGACAGTGAGATCAAGGACAAGGAGATAGAAGCGAGTGGGAACTAACAGATAACTCAGGGTTGCAGGAGCACAAGTGGGTGGTGCAGTGTGGGGAGCAAGCCGGACTGGACTGAGTTACTGGAATTAAGACTTATTCTATGCATCTGCTCTCCCACAATATGGCGCTGGGAGAGGAGAAAACAGCTTCTACGCAGCTGCCTCTTGCCAACTTGAGTGATGACCTCCAGGAGCTGATCCTGCTCCTGATTGGAGGAGAGCAGCGTACTCGGCGTGTGGGCAGCCGAATTGGGATTGGCGGAGGAGGACTATAAAGGAGGAGAGAGACAAGATGCACGAGGAACATCTAAGGGGAACATCTATCTGAAGGAACACCTGTGCAGCCCCCGAGAGAGCCGGCCGGTGGTGTGCCGCTCCCCTGCGGAAGTGGGGAAGGTGGCAGGGGGCCCACCCCTCCACGGAGGTGGAGGGATGGCAGCCAACCCGGGAAGAACCAGCAGCAAACCCGGGGAGGGCTGAGCAGACAAAAGAACAACGCAGGGTCC